GCGCATGTTGAATGCACAATTTGAATATTTTTAGACAAGCTGGTTTTAAGTAATTTAAGAAAAATTGTATCTATTTTTAAATTGAAACTGAACAGGTAACAATGCAAAACCAGGCAAATGCCAAAGTACCTTAAGTTGTCATCCTATAATTTTGTCATTTTTAAATGGTGTTTTCTAAACGTTAGGTTTTTGCCTCATTCGTACCAGTTTTATATTACAAAGATACATTTCGGGGACACTAAAGGGCTCGAACACACTGACGACCAGGTCGCACCGGCCAGGCCGCAGCAACCTCTAAAACCATTAAATCAAATGATATAGCGCACACTAACGTCCTGGCCGTCCGTTGGTCGTTGCGACCAGAAGACTGCACGGAAATATTATTATTTTCTGCCGCTTGTTGCCGGTTTTCTTCCAAATTAATAATTTTTCAGATGAAATCCCGCAAATTCAAGGCACAATATTTTATTTTCTATAAGATATAGTGTTTTAGAGTAGTTTTTGCACACGTGCAGAAATCCAAAGAAATAGTATACAGACTGGATCAAAGGTAAACTTAAATCTAATCCCTTTTTTTATCAAGGGTCGATTCTAGTAAAAACTCAAAACATTTTTATATGACATACCTACTCTATTTATGATACCTGTTATTATACCTTTGAGTTTCGATGTTAAAAAATAAAAAAAAATAATACTTAAAGTTTTTCTACAACCACTTGTTTTTTTAATAAATTAGTTTTTTAATTGTACTGTAGTCATGTATAAGGAGGACAACGGAATTTTAAATATTATATTTAATTTAACGTTTTTCAAACAGGGTTCATTAGACTATATTTCTACTAGGTACATTATTTTGAAAAGAAATTAAGAAAGTAATATAAACATTCATAAAAATAGAAGTAATTACTGTTGTAGATTCTTCGTTATATTGTAAACATTGAAATAACTGGAAGCTAAACTTTCTATCTGGTTATATTTAGAGCCAGTGTCTGACGATCTTTTTTTACGATGGCCCTAATATGTTTACTTCTAAAGTCGATAAGGGCGCCATATCAGTAGAAAAAAGACACAGAATATCTCCCTTTTTGTCGGTCGCGCGTACACAATGCTTTCTGTTTGTTGTGAATAGCAACTTCGCTTTTTAGTTAACTCGGATATTTTAACATTTCTGAAACAATATTTTCTAATTGGTTAAACGTAAAAAATCGTTAGATTTGACAACTCTGTTGAAACTGGTCGTTGGCCAGCCGACGGTCAGGTCGTTGCGACCTGGTCGTCAGTGAGTTCGAGCCCTAAGCTTAGGTACTATAACGTAGTAGTGTAGTTTGCAATGTTACCTGTTTAGTTTTAATTTAAAAATAGATGCAATTTTTCTTAAATTACTTAACATCGGCTTGTCCAAAATTGCTCAAATTTGGCATGTGTATTCATTGTAAACAGATCTTTAAAATCTATTTACGACTTAGCTGTAACATTAATTATATTAATAAGGGAGCCAATATTTGAACAATTCAAAATTTGCATGCGATTTCCTATGTTTCGACGATGCGCCACCCGGTATGTTGTTTACCTAAGTAGCAAATTTTATTTTATAAAGGTTGTATAAACAGCTATGTGATTTTTATAGGATACCTCAATTCATATAACGTGCTATATGACCGTAATATGATAGCTTTACAACCAAAAAAGGCCCATTTTTATACAACCGTTTAGTAGTATAGAAGTTCTATAAAAAGGGTATACAACTCTTATGCAACTATTTTACACAGCATTATATGACTATTATAAAATAGTTTTATTGTGTATTACGTGGTCACATCTAAGAAACAGAACAATAAAAACATTTGATCATTTAGCGAGGTACAAGAGTATTTTATTTTTTACCGAAGAATATTAGGAGCAAATTATATTTTAAGCGTGTCATAAATGAATCTAGAGGATGTGGATTGTTAAAAAGGAGACTTTACTCGACGGTGAAAATGGCGGGTAGAGCCAGAAGGTACAACAAATATGTAATATAAAAAATCATTAATAGGGTTTAAAAAGTAGGGACAATTTTTGTTGCGCCGAAAATTTTACTGGTAGATTACAGGTATGTATTTGGAAAAAAATTAAAGTGCTTTAATTTCGATTAAGGTTTACATATAAATTTAAACAATAAAATAAAATAAAATTTTCAAAAATTCTTGTTTTTAATTTAATTAAACACTTTATTACTGTATGTGGGAATCTTATCACAAAATAGTTCTCAAAAATAACATTTTACAATGTATTTTGATGTTTTTAATTTTGCTTCATATAATGGCGGCCATAGGCATACAAAAATTCTGCCTTAAACATGGCGAATTATAATGCAACCATTTTATTATAAATGAATCCCTTAAATAAGTCTTTGTTGTAAAATAAAACGGTATAGGATAAATATCTATCATTACGCAGAATTTCCAAGCACTATAGAACTATTTTGGACATATTGAGATTTGTGACAAATAGATGTTGCCAAATCTCATTTGATTAGTATTTAAACAAACAAACATGATCAGATTTTCATGGATTCATGCACGTGCATTTCATGCGTGCCCGACGAGTGAGCGGCAACCTAAGGACTTGGAAAAACAACAATAAAACAATACAAACATTACTACAGTAAAACTTTTACACCAACGTGGCAACAATGCTTTGAAGAAGCCAGACAACCCGGGAGATTTTGGCTTTTGAGAACCCAGGGAATTCTCGGGATTATTTGCCGTAATTTCGAGGAGTTTTTTCTTACATGCTCTTTATAACTACCACTGCGTTTGTTAAGTTTTTTCCAACTTTGTCCAGAATTCATAATAGCTGTGATTGATTACACTCGTACGTAGATATTACATTTGCAACAACAACAATAACAAAATAAATAACTAGATATACCATTTAAATTAAAATGAGGTTATATTATACATTACCAGTTTTATAATGCAGATATTACAGCGAATTTATTGTGTTAATCACAATTTTATCATACAAGACTATATAACTGTGTTGTATACAGCATCGAAGTTTAACGCAATAAAACGTTCTATCATACAACGTAATACAACTTTAATAAGACAAGTTTAAGTAACTATTATATGATCTTGTGACTACTAGTTATATGAATATTATAGAACTCTTACATGGTGGGTATAAGAGTCTAATAAAATAATATGTTTGTTATCATATAGCATTGTCTTACTAAGTGTTATATCATACTAAAAGAAATTATCGTTTAATGCGTTATAGGATACGTTGTAAAAACCACTAGAAAATAGTTTAATATGACAACTTTTATTAAAAAACAGAATGGTCGAAACCAAACGCTTAATAAAATCAAGCAGTCCTTAAGACAACGCTATTGGACTGTTATAAAATAATTCAATCCTTTTAGAATTTCTTTTTGCTACTTGGGTACCCAGTGTGCGGATACTGCACACTGTGTGTGAATCCTGCTTCTCATGTGTTGTCAACTGGGAAGTCAGCAACCAAAATAAAAGTAACTATAGCTCAAAATTGGTAGGCGTGGCTGGGTTAGGATTTGAAGCAGGATAAAACAGGATTGTAGGAGCCCAAGCAGGATCGTATTTTATAATTCCTGCTTTCAATGAGTTGCTAACTTCCCCGATCTTAGGCGCATAAAATCTACTATGCTCTAATAATCTAGTTGGCGAAAATATGGAATTTTATGTTAGTATCACAAATTATATTTGACAATAAGCTCCATAACAGCTTAAAAGAATTAATAATTTTTAAATTAGCTAAATGTTCGGGTTTATTTTTGATTGGTGCCCTCTAACGGACAAACGAAGCACTTTTGTATAAAGGGAAATTATGCGCAATGAACTTATTTTGACTCAAAAAATACATAGTTGTTCTATATCCAGGAAATATTAGAACTAATTGTAGGTATATTTCGTAGGTCTGCTTTGGAAAAATAAATTTTCCAAACATTTTTTTCTCAAAAACTATGCGTTGGTGCGTTTTTCTACAAGAGACAAAAAATGTTGTAAATACTAGAAGGATCATTTTACAAAAAGAAAATCTGTTGTCGGTGGAGTTGGAAAATATTTATCCTAAAATTTATGTAGGGGGTAGTTTTCACCCCACCCGTACTTAATTTTTGTGGTAACCAAAAGTTAAAGCACTTAGCAAAACATAGACACGTAAAATCTCATTCAAATTGGAGTAATGGTTCTTAAAATATCTGAAAAAATGTATTTATTTTTTTAAAGTTTGATGCCCTCTAGCAGACATGACCTTAACTAAAAAAAGAGTAAATTCAAAAATACTTTTTTTTCACAGTGTAAGTTTAAAAAATATAATAAAATCTTGAGAAATATAAATACTTACAATATCAGTCCCGTACTCCACTTTTATACATAAAATAGTGGGACAAAAGGATGGACCAGAATTTTAAAACATACCTTCATTTTATATTTTTTAGTTTTTGAAATGATTGCTTACAGGTTTTTCAAGATAATATCTTATAGCTGTAAAATAATATGTGTAAAATAATCAATTTATAATAAAACTTGAAGCACTTGAATTGTTCTTTAAACAAATAAAAATAGATGATAAACTAAAGAAAACAATTCTATAAATTTGCTGTTTGAAACTCGGGTTTTGTAATACGAATTTTTCAGTATTTCAATAACACCTTGTATATTTACAAATGGAACTAATGAAAAATAAAATTATAGTTGACGGTAAAAGCAAGCTGCTTTATCCATAACAATAACAATATACAAAAAATGCGTGATATAGCAATATGTGTTGACCAATAATGCACTTAGTAAATCCGGCAGACAAACGTAAAAAACAAGATCGCCGTCCTTCGAGATCCTTTTACACAAAAAGCACACGTAAAAGCTTGGGCGTTGCCTTCTCGCCCCAAGGTACCAACTACCATTCCGGCGCTAGCAGTACCGAACCAGTTGCATTGACCTACGTCACCACCATCGCCGCCGAATTTTCGATCCTGGTCACCACACCGACGGCCAAGGTTTTTCTTTCAAGACCACCGTACGAAAGTTTACCGCATTTTAGGTGAATTGTCGACTAGTATAAAATACGAAAAAATCGCCCGAAAATGTATCAGTCTCAATCAGTTAGTCTTTCGACTCGCAACACAGACCTAAGAAACAATCAAAATGTTCAAATTGGTGGTGTTGTCTGCTCTCGTTGCCGTTGCCGTGGCTAAACCATCCGGTCTTTTCTACGGAGCCGCTCCAGATGTAGCCAGCTCCTACATCGCCCCAGCAGCCGTCAGTTCTACCTACAGAGAAGATGTCATTCACAAACCCGCCGCTGTCGCTTACGCTGCTCCAGCTGCTGTAGCTTACTCTGCCCCAGTAGCCGTTGCTGCTCCCGTTGTAGCCAAGACCTACGTAGCCCCAGCCGCTGTAAGCTCCACCTACAGGGAAGATGTCATCAGCAAGCCAGCTGCCGTAGCTTATGCTGCTCCCGCTGTAGCTTACTCTGCTCCAGTAGCCGTCGCTGCTCCTGTTGTAGCTAAGAGCTACGTTGCTCCCGCCGCTGTCAGCTCCACCTACAGAGAAGACTACATCAGCAAACCAGCCGCTGTAGCTTATGCCGCCGCTCCAGTTGTAGCCAAATCGTATGTAGCTGCCGCTCCAGCTTACGCATATGCTGCTCCCTCTGTCCACGCTTGGTAATCGAGAGGACTGAATTAGATAGACTGTGTGTAAATATAATTTATTCAAAATTAATAAAAATATACTTTTTGATCTTTGCAAACATATATTTTATTTAATTACAAATCATAGGAGTAAGATTTCTTTTACTCGCACTTTACGATATTAAAAAGGCAATAAATTTATAGACTTCTTTGTGATTTAATGAAAAATTAGGATTGTCTTTTCTCTAAAGAGAAAAATGCATTTTTCATAAAACAGTTGCTTGTTCCAAAATGGTTACCTAATCCCATTTATACTTTTCTAAATTTCTATACGTCTTAAAGAAAAATGAAAATATAATTCCTAAAATTCAAAGCGCATTTCTGTAGTAATATAATTTTGATTTTATTCTTTGATAGATTTTCATTGACGGAATTTTAATTAACGTCATATTTTTTGATGTTTTAAAATGTCAAAGGAGCACACATTTTATTTAGTTAAATGCTACGGAGAGGGTGATAATAGTTATCGCAAAATGTGACTTTCACAACAAAAAATATGACGTTAGTCAAAATTAATAATAACAATCTTTCAAAGAATAAAATCGAAATTGTACTATCATAGAAACGTTTTTTGGTTCTTAGGATTTCGAAAAAAAGTCAACCATATTTTCATGTAGGTATTTTTAAATTTTCTCTAAAACAGTATGAAAATTTGGAAAAGTATAGAACAAGAACAAGAACATTTTTATGAGTTTTTCTCAAAATATCAATAATAAAAAAGTTTTCCCTCTTGTAAAGACAATCCGGGGACATACTGTACATTAATACAGATTAATGGTACAATTTTTCACTATGTGTTTTTCATTTAAATTGTGTAATAAGTAAACTAAAACTGATTAATACTGTAAACATTCCTATTACCTTCCTTTGTACTTATCTATTAAAATCAACGCGTGAAATTCAAAAATTAACTGTCATTACTTTTATTTAAAATTATTTATCCTATTAATACATCCTACATATTTGAAATTTACTTTCTTTAAAATATGTTTATAGATTGTAAAACAGAATTCCTTGTACCATTTATAGGTATTCTATTTAATTTTCCCTATGGTTAAGATATTATAATATAAATATTTAGGTATGATATGATTTCAAGACAACTTTTATTGAAACTATTAACCCTACCACTCGACCAAGTCTATGGATAAATACTGTTTATCCACAATCAAGAAAGTCTACCGAGAAATACTGTTTATCCACTTTCAAATTGTGTAATGAGCGTTATATCCACTCATATGAAGCAATTAAAGTGATATTATATACACTAGTGTGTTAAAATAACTTTATCTACGTCAGTGAGTTAAGAAGCTATTAACTCACGCATTTTGAGTGAGTTAAAAGCTTCTTAACTCACGCATTTTCATTACCGCACTCCTTGTTTAGATGACTACCAAAGAGAGAAAAATATTTTGTAAAACATTTATTTTGCACTAAATTGGAAGAATATGTTATAAGTACCTTTTTATTTCCATAGTTGTGTACTCTTTTTCGGTGCACCATTTTTCATACTTAGAGTATGAATATTCATACTTCTGTTTCGATCTTGCTGGAAACAATCCAGAAATGGCTCTGAATGCCTCTTCTTCAATGTCAGAGGGAATACTTTCCGAATCCCTCAGTTTTTAAACTAGTGACATCAATATTATTTACTGTCATATTGACATTGCCATGCATGTTGTTATTTGAGTATTAAGGTAATTTATTTTTAGGATAGGTATATAGTTAAGTACAATACTTTTGTTAAAATTAATTGTGTGTTTTTATAGTTAGACGTAGATAAATATTGTACAATACACGCGAGTTAACTCTATTAAGATACTTGTGTGGTTACACAACTCGTGCTGCGCACTCGTTGTGCAACTTTCACACGCATATCTTAATGATGCTGTTAACTCACTTGTATCGTAAATATCTATTATTCCACTAGTAGAATACTGAAATTAAAAACACTAAATTTTTATTTCTTTGTAATGTTCTCTAGATTTCGCAGGAAGTAAATAGGTAGTTGCCTCTTGAGCCTCAACAAAAATTGCAGCAAAACAACAAAATAACTTTGCAAATTCTCATGACAAAGCTTCGATATTACTTTTTGTCAAGCTTTTGTTTGCATCATTAATAAATCAACATAATTACCAAAACAAAAAACGCTGTATTTAACTCGATGTTTAAAAATAATGCTTGCTGCCAATTTTTACTATCATTTTTTTAAATAATTTTAACTATATACAGGGTTGTTCACCACATACGACACGGAGTATTGTAGCTAAACGATTATATTTTTACAAATTTCAAGATTTGGGTTCGATGAAGGACTATTAGAGGTACAATTTAAAAATAATTTACAAGATACAGAGTGTCCCAAATAAGTAAAAAATATGAAAGCTTTATTTTTTTAAATGGAATACCCTGTATATTATTACATTTTTAGTTTCTACGATTAAAATAAAGGTAAATTTGATTAAGGTTTATTACACTTAAACCTTACCGTTTTTGAAATATTTTCAATTTTGTGAAATTGCAGTAAAAATTTTAAGGCTTCATTTCTCCAAGGGTATCAAAGTTTTTAATACTAAATATTTACTGAAATTTATTTATTGATCAGTTATTGTGCTGCAATAATAAAAATAATACTACCTTATACAGAGTGTCTAAAAATTTATTTTAAATAATTTATAGCTTTAAACGCCAATAACTTGTTTAATTTAAATAGAACGCCCTGCATATTTTAGGAGAATCAGATGCACAATTTAATTGTCTATCAAATTGTATTATACCATTCTTACCTATTCCTTCAAGTTTTCGTAGAAAATACATTTTCTTATAATTTAGACCTCATTCATCAATATACCCATGGAATATTGACATTTTATTATTGACACCCATGGAATATTGACATCATATATTGACATTCTAGTAATATTATCGTTTTGCTAAAAACAATAATGTTGTATGCAAAAAGAAAACTATTTAAATCTTTATAAAAGAGTATACCATTAATTAAATATAGCACCATTATTTCCGCCCATATACTAATTAATTACATACTTAATTGTACTCGTTATTCGTTAATAAATTATTCTAAATAAATGTGGAATTGAGTCAGAAATCAATATAATAATAAGTTATCAAAATTAAAGTCTCTGTTGTTATAAATAAGCATTTAGTAAAAAATAAAATATCATTTTTAAGGTGTTACTTTTTATCACACTGTCTAATACCCATACAAAATTCAGTTTTTTTTAATATTTGGAACAATTATTATTAATCAATGCAGTCAGTTAATGTAGTTTGAATACTGGAATCATATTAATTGGTCCCTTTTAACAAATATTTAAACAGTTTTTTTTTTATTTTTTAATGAAATAAACGAATTATATCCACAATATTCGTATCTGTACTCTTTAAAAATTTGGTACATCTTTAAAAATAATCTAAAATGTCAATATTCCATGGGTATATTGATAAATAAATTCTAAATTACAAGAAAATGCATTTTCTACGGAAACTTAAAGAGATAGGTAAAAGATGGTATAATATAATTTGATAGACAATTAAATTGTGCATCTGATTCTCGTAAAATATACAGGGTGTTCCATTTAACTAACAATAACTGATCAATAAAAAAACTTCAGTAAATATTTAGTATTAAAAACTTTGGTACCCTTGGAGAAATGAAGCCTTAAAGTTTTTACTGCAATTTCACAAAATTGAAAATATTTCAAAAATGGTAAGGTTTAAGTATAATAAACCTTAATCGAATTTACCTTTATTTTAATCGTAGAAACTAAAAATGCAATAATATACAGGGTGTTCGATTTAAAAAAATACAACTTTGATATTTTTTACTTATTTGGGACACTATGTATCTTGTAAAATTATTTTTAAATTGTACCTCTAATAGTCCTTCATCGAACCCAATACTTACAATTTGTAAAAATGTCATCGTTTAGCTACAATACTCCGTGTCGTATGTGGTGAACAACCCTGTATACATGTATTTGTGGATAAAACTTTGTATTACATTCCTGTTCTAGTTCTATGTTAGTTCGTCAGCTTAAGAAAATTAAATGCTCAAACTACCTTCTCGCATTTAAACATTCGTGCGTGGATAAATGCTTCTAAGAAACTTAACGCCGAGTATAATAAATTATATACTGTTATTTCTTCTTCTTTATTACTATTATATGAAATCTACGAAGTTGAAAATTCATACTTATGGTAGATTTAAATACTTTTGATATTTTTAGAATCTTTTTAATTTTTCTTATGAAAATATTCCCATAGAATTGTACAATTTTTAGTAAACATTTGTTTTTTTTCTATATCCGTTATTTGTTTAGGTTATCAAAAATATCTTTATACAGGATTAGTTTCAAATAAGTGCAAGTATTTTAGGGGTGGTAAATTTCGAAAATGTGGTAGGTAATTTTTTTTAAAAATGCCTTTTTTTAATTTTTAGTTACAAAACATAATATCTTTATAATATGGCAACATATGGAGTAAATTAGATTTACAAAAAAAAATTTTTTTAATTTTCAAAGTAAAATAACTCGGTTATTTTGAACTTATTTGAGAAGCGTCGAAGAAGATATATGTTTCTTTTGTTCAAATCTACAAGCCCTGAAAATATTTGCACTTATTTAAAACTCACCCCGTATACTACTTAGTTCTATTTGAAAATCTACAAAATACCAGGGCTGGCCAATAAACAAGATATATTTGTGAACAGGCTATTTTTAATTTGTTTGTTTATTTTGTTAAAGTTTATTTTATCACATTCTTATTTTAGACACGGCCACCCTATATTTTCCAATAATTTTCAGTAATTTAGAACTAATTTTCATTTAATTAAATAAGTACTAAAATGATAAATTCATATTTTTGCCAAATTTCTTTAAGATGTTCTGCATTTACAGCCACAATTACTTTAGAATGTTGTGAATTAAAAAAATGAATCATATATGAAAATACCTAGCGAAAATATATTATAATTTTTCGTTGCTGTAAATTTTTAAGAAGAATATGGTAAAAAAATAAAAAGCAATTTTACCGATAAATAAATAATTTATTTCGGAGACATATACAAATATGGCAATGTGAAGATTACAGTCTTAACAATCAGTCCTCTCTTTACCAAGCTTGGAGAGCTGGAGCATGGGCAGCGTAACCATAAGCAACAGGTGCAGCATAAGCAGCATGAGCAGCATAGGTAGCTACAGCAGGAGCAGCGTAAGCAGCTACTGCAGGGGCAGCATAGGCTACAGGGCCAGAGATGATGGTCTTCTGAACAACTGGAGCCGAATAAGTTGCTACAGCTGGAGCGGCTACGATTGGTGCGGAATATGCAGCATAGGCTACAGCAGCTGGTTTACTGATGGTATCTTCCCTGTAAGTGGAGCTTACAGCAGCGGGAACGGCATAGGTTTTAGCAACAACGGGAGCAGCGACAGCTACTGGGGCAGCTTCAACCACGGTTTTGGCAACGGGAGCGGCGACTACAGCTGGGGCACTGTAAGCTACAACGGCTGGTTTGCTGATAACATCGGATCTGTAGGTGGAGCTAACTGCGGCTGGAGCAACAACAGTTTTGGTTACAACTGGGGCAACAGGTTCGGCTACCACGGTCTTGGCTACAGCTTCAACAACGGGTTCGGCTACGACAGGAGCACTGTAAGCTACGACAGCTGGCTTACTGATGATGTCTTCTCTGTAGGTAGAGCTGACGGCAGCTGGGGCAACATAGGATTTGGTTACAACCGGAGCGGCTACAGCTACAGGTTCGGCTACGACGGCTTTAGCTACGGGGGCAGCAACAACAGCAGGAGCGGAGTAAGCTACAGCGGGAGCGGAATATGCTACAGCGGCTGGGTGGCTGATGGTATCTTCCCTATAGGTTGAGCTGACGGCCGATCCACCGATGTAGCTTTTCGTGACTACTGGAGCGGCTACTTCTACTGCTCCATGAATCAAACTTGGCTTGGCGTAGGCGAAAGCTACGAAAACGGACAACACCACCAATTTGAACATCTTGATTGATCGTTTAGGTCTGTGTGTCTAAGAGACTGACTGATTGCGACTGATGCTCCGAACATTGCGAAATTCTCTATTTATAGGTGGCGGGTTGCCGAAAAGGTTAAAGATAATTCAAATGCACCAAAAGGATACGGGAAAAAATTATTGTTGACCGTGAAAATCGGCGAAACCAGATCGCGATGACGTCGGAACGTACAAGAACCAGAAGTCGCACACGTTGTTCGGTAAATATCGATAATTATGTTACGCCTACGGGCTACGCCTGTTACATTACAATCAAAGTCGCCAAGAAGCAGGAAGAGTTAAAATAATTGGGTTTCTTGGTATTTTGGATAAAGCAAATAAATGTCAATTAGTTTCTTATTTATGTATTTTGATGAAATAAATCGAGCCTGGTTTTGTATCTTAATAGGATTTTAATTAAATGAAATTAGCATGTTCTTATAAACTTGAGGGGTATTTTATTATAAGATTAACAAACACGGCGTGAGTAATAATTAATAGGTATGCATTTTCTTTATAAACCACAAATCATAATAAACAAATTCATAAAAACAATGTAATATTGCAATAGTATATGCTAAAATTTAGAGAGCATTGAAAAATTCTATTTTACTAATTTAAGACTGCAAAATATTATGAATTTATCTTATTCAAAAAAATATTTTAAGTTATAAAATAATGCCAATATTTAGTCTTTCCTAATATTATTTGCTATTTATTAAATTCAAGTGCATTGTAAAGTAAAACTGAAATAGTAAAACGAAGAAAAATGATTTTATATTTTAGAAAGTTTGGCGTATAATTTTTAAACACCCTGTATGATTTAAGATTGCAATATTTATAGCAAAGTAAGAATAGACTATCAAAAAAGAAAGTAAATACCTAATATAGTTTTGATTTTAGGACAGTTCCTGTATTTTTAATAATTTCTTTAAGAAAGCCTGAAAAAACATTATTTTTTATTTATTTATTTATATGTCTGAAACTATCGAAATATATTTACTCATATCTTAGGGTTATGTAAAGTTATCTGAAAAGAAGTCAAAAATGCCATAATACAGGGTTCGGGAATAGTGCGTCGGACATCTGTAGCTCTTAGAATAAAAAAATAAATATTTATGTTTATATATTTAGTATAAAATATTTATGTTTATATGGTTGGTAGTTTATGTTTAATACAAGAGAAGGTGCTAAATTTAGTCCTCTTCTTACTTTTGTTTTATAGAAAACTAGTAAAAAATAAAGTAATTCAGTATTTTTATGACGAAGAGTTTCTTATAATATTTATAATAATTTTTCTAAAGACACATAAAATTTTATGATATGGCAGTAAAAACACTATCAACCTCCGTTAAGAAGACTATAAACTACCATGGAAAACAATAAGAGGTTAATTTACTTAAAAGGATATCCTCATTGGTGTTTTACTATTATATTTAATTTTAATATTGTTATTTCATTTTAATTTTGCAATAAAAAGTATAGTAATAAATTATTTAACTATTAAATATATAGTATTACAACTATAATAGTACTATTAACTATTAACTATTAGTAGTATTACGATATACAGTGTGGTCCAAACTGTATTCCGGAAACTTCGGTAGCATATTCCGCAGATAAAAATAAGTATAAAAGTTTGTATAAATGTATGTCCTGAAATGTTTAGTTTCGGAGATACAGGGTGTAACGTTTCATTTTTATTTCGATTTTTTTCAAATAATTTCTGAAGTAACGTTATTTTTTATTATATCAAAAATTTATGATTAATTCAAAAAAATAAAAAGTTCCCAAATTTATAAGTTCAGTCAAATAACTCAAAAATATGTTTATTTTTGTGTCAATAATAACATGTATTGACTATGTCCATTCTAAATATATTTGGAGAACGGTTGTTCATAGCAATTTTTACAAAGAGATATTTTTTTACGTAAAAAATCACGGAAATGTACATTTTTCACTCAGTAGTTTTATACAGGTACGAACGAAAAATTATTACTCTTTAAAAAAGTTAAAACACATGTAGGTGGCACTCCCTACAAATAGGAGTCATATTGGTATCAAAATAAAATTTCTCTTGTCAAGTAACTCCCAGATACCAATTTTCAACCAAACATTGACGTTACTTCAGAAATTATTTGGAAAAAATCGAAATAAAAATGAAACTTCTACACCCTGTATCTCCGAAACGAAGCATTTTAGAACACATTTATACAAAGTTTTTTGCTTATTTTTATATGCAGAATAAGCTGCCAAAGTTTTTCGAAATACAGTTCAGACCACCCTGTATAATAGAATAAAAATGTCTGTATTAATAGTATATATAATAATAGTATATCTGTAGTATTTCGTAGATACAGGGTGTAGAAGTTTCATATTAATTTCTATTTTTTCCAAGTAATTTCGGAAATAACATCAATATTTGGATGAAAATTGGTTTTCTTTCCTCACTTTTTTTAAAAAAAAAAAGTTTTTTGACATGAGAAATTTGATTTTGATGTCAATATGACTCTTATTTGTAGGGGGCGCCACCTACATGTATTTTAACTGTTTTGAAGAGTAATAACTTTTCGTCCGTACCTGTATAAACTAGAGAATGAAAAAATACACATTTTCGTGATTTTTACGTAAAAATATCTCTTGGTAAAAATCTTTACGAGCAACGGAGAATGGAAATAGTCAATACATGTCATTACTGACCAAAACTAAACATGTTGATAGATAGTTATTTGACTGAAATGATTAATTTGTGATATTTTTATTTTTTTTAATTAATCAGAAAAAATGATGAAAAAACAGTTTCTGTTGAACTTTTGGCACAAAAACATTCCAAATTTATGATTTCAGTTTAATAATTATTTAGACCAACCAAACCAAACATGTATGAGAGGTACTGATAATTTCGATTCCAAATATCTCGAGAACCATTACTCGTAGCGATTTTTACGAAGAGACCTTTTTTATGTAAAAACGTGGTGAATGTATATTTTTTTACTCAGTAGTTTTATACAGGTACGGACGAAAAGTTATTAGTCTTAAAAACAGTTAAAACACATGCAGGTGGTCCTCCATACAAATAGAAGTCATATTGACATCAAAATCAAATTTCTCCTGTCAAAAAACTCCCAAACACCAATTTTCATCTAAATATTGACATTACTTAAATTATTTGAAAAAAATCGAAATAAAAATTAAAAATTTTACAGCCTGTATCTCGGAAACTAAGCATTTTAGGACATTGCTTACAGGACTTATTTTTATCTGCAGAATATGCTGCCAAAGTTTCCGGAATACAGTTCGGACCACTCTGTATATTTAACTATTAAATAGTAGTAAAAAATATAGTTATATATATAGTAATAGGTAGTAAATTTAACTTTTTTTAAGTTTTTTGGTTCCATTATTACAAGAACTACTAAAATATTTTTAATACTAACTTCAGCATATTTCTTTTTAATATTCCATTTTATTATATTCGAATTAAAATTTCCGTTTGTGATTAGTTATTAACACCTATTATAAACTCGTTTAGAATTAGAAGGTTTTCGACAAGTCTGGCGAGCAGTACGTACCCTTGCACTTTCTTTCTCGCACTTGATGATATGCTTTTTCATGGTCAAAAATTTACAAGAAACATAATAATGCGCGAACCATTTACCTTTTTTATCACCATTTTTTTAACTATAAATATCTCTCAAGTTACTCGATTTGGTATCAGTCTCAATCAGTCAGTCTTTCGACTCGCAACACAGACCTAAGAAACAGTCAAAATGTTCAAATTGGTGGTGTTGTCTGCTCTCGTTGCCGTTGCCGTGGCTAAGCCATCCGGTCTTTTGTACGGAACCGCTCCAGTTGTAGCCAGCTCCTATATCGCACCAGCAGCCGTCAGCTCTACCTACAGAGAAGATGTCATCAACAAACCCGCCGCTGTAGCTTACTCTGCTCCAGCCGCTGTAGCATACTCTGCACCAGTAGCCGTCGCTGCTCCTGTTGTAGCCAAGACCTACGTAGCCCCAGCCGCTGTAAGCTCCACCTACAGAGAAGATGTCATCAGCAAGCCAGCTGCTGTTGCCTACTCTGCTCCCGCCGTTGTAGCTGCTCCTGTAGCTGTTGCAGCTCCCGTTGTAGCTAAGACCTACGTCGCTCCCGCTGCTGTCAGCTCTAGCTACAGACAAGACGTTATCAGCAAACCAGCTGCTGTAGCTTATGCCGTCGCTCCAGTTGTAGCCAAATCGTATGTAGCTGCCGCTCCAGCTTACGCATATGCTGCTCCTGCTGTCCACGCTTGGTAATTGAGAGGACTGATTTAGGAAACTAGACTGTGTTTAAATTTAATTTATTAAAAAATAGAATAAAAATATATTTTTGATCTGGATACGCTAGTCTACTTTATTTCATAATTATAACGGTCTAGTTCAGTAAATAAGGACACGAAAAGACCCAAGTCTCGGCGTACTTCGTCGACCTTGACTTTTACGGCGGACTGTTTTGGGGAGTAGTTCTAGAAGAATTGTAACACCGTGCTCGGCCAGTTTTGGCCAAAAAAATGGTCGCAAATGGCTCAAAAAGATGTTTTTCGCAAATATCTGCCAAAATATGCAATTTAGAAAATTTTTCTTGAAATAAAAAAAGCTTAGGTCATTATCTACAAAAAAGGTTCTGACACTTTTTTTCGTCATATTATATATGACTTTCCCAGGAAAACGGTTAAAAACGGCTCTAAATGGTAAAAGAACGGGTTTTCCGCCAATATTAGCCGAAATATGGCATGTAGATGAGTTTCATGACCGCCAAATAGAAGATTGGGTCTTTAGCTAAAAAATGACCCTGACACTTTTTTTCGTAAAGTTGTTCGTAAAAAGAAGCCAATTCGACTATTCGTAATTATGCAATTTTCTTTTGTTTAGGACACTTTCCGGAAATCCCAAAAAAGCGGAAAAAGCCACTCACGAATAGTTGTTTTTTATTAAAATGTGATTAAACAAATACTTAAAACTTTCTGAGTTGTTTAAAGAGACTCTAAGAACTACTGTTAAAAAAATCTTGTCAAATAAGCTATTAGTAGTGAAAATATGAATATGTTGGCAAAAATCTGAAAACTTTTGGGTCAAGAAATGTTTGCCAGGTTTTTTTATTATCATAAAATATGACAAAATTCAAACAAGTTCCAATATGTGATAGCTAACAAATTAATTTTTTCAGTGTATTGATTCCACCTTTTAAATGAACTTGATGAATGAATCATCAAAAAAATTTAAATTTTAGCCGAGTTGCTAAACAATTTGTCTAGAGGAAATTCAGGGATCTTTGAGGCGGAATATCTCGAAAGCCTGTGCAAAGTACAGATACTGGCATGTATCTGTATCACAGGTGCCATGAGAACATGTCCAACAGCAGCAATGGAGGTCATTTTAGACCTAACACCACTGCACATTGTCGTCGGTAGTTATGCCAATGCGACAATGATTAGAATGGTCATAGACGGAAACAGTACTGGGAGAATTTTTAGGTTAGGGGCTTGTAACACCCTCAAAAAGAAAATTCCACTTCTCCAACTCCCAGTGGATGACATACCAAGAATTTACAATTTTGAGAAACACCTCACTGTAGTATTGAGTAATAAAAAGGATTGGAAGGAAGACACGCTTATTCAACATATAAAATACCATATCATAACGTGGTATACTGATGCTTCTAAAACCAAAGCAGGGACAGGGATAGGAGTATTTGGGCCGAAAACCAAATACTCCGAACCAATGGGCACCTACCCCAGTATTCTTCAGGCAGAAATTTACGCTATCGAAAGGTGTGTACAATTTATCTTAGATAGGAACTATCTAAAACAGAAAATTGCCATCCTATCCGATAGTCATGCAGCACTAAACGCGCTCAACTCAGTAATCATCAATTCGGAGTTGGTCAAAGAATGCCTAGAGAAGCTCAACAAGTTGGGCAAAGAAAATAAATTCCTCTTACTCTGGGTGCCTGCTCACCAAGGGATAGAAGGCAATGAAAAAGCAAATGATCTAGCTAGGAAAGGAGCGAACACTCCACTAACTGGACCAGAACCGTTCTGTTTTCCAAGCGGAAACCAGCTGAAAGCGGAACTGAAGAATCTGGAAGACTCCAACAGCAACTTGGAATGGGTGTCCTCCAACGGTCTAAGACACTCGAAAAAGTTCCTCAGAACCTACGACCGAGAAAAATCAAAGGTTTTCCTTGATTTAGATAAAAACAATCTTCGGATTGTCATGGGGTTCCTAACAGGACACTGTCTCCTCAACGAACACCTCAGTAGGGTGAAGCTGAGAAGCAACGGCGAATGCAGATTCTGTGGGGAATATGGGGAAACACCAGAACACCTCATCACTGAGTGCGCCGAGACGACGACTATTCGTGCCATGAACTTTGGTACGGCTGATGACAAGGATGGAGAGCTGGCCTCTATGGAGCCGTCTCAGATACTGGCTTTTGTTAAAGCCTTGAGACTGTATGATGAGTTATAACTCGTTATAACTCAAGAAAGGGGAACACACAATAGATCTTTAAGGTCGCGGTGACTAACTCCCCTCCTAAATATTCTACCATTCTACATCTCGAAAGCCTAATTCTACCTAAAAAATGATGATGATCGTTTTTGGTAATTACCTAAGCTTTATTTTTTATTCCTAGAAAAGTTTTGTAAAATGCATATTTTGGCAGATATTTGCAAAACACTTATTTTTAGGCCATTTGGGGTCATTTTTTTAGCCAAAGCTAGCTGAGCACGGTATTACAATTTTCCCCTAATACTACTCCCCTAAAGAAACACAATTCGCTTGAAAAGTCCCGGTCGACGAATTAAGTCGTGGTTTCAACTTTCATTTACTGGACTAGTAGCAGTAAAAGTTTTGAAAGCATTGAAAGTATGGCAGAAAAGTTTAACAGTTTATTTAATAGTGGTATACAGTGATGAAATAGTATATTATTCAACGAGCATATAATGGTGGATGTTATTCACGCGGATGAAGTTTATGCCGCAGGCGAGTGGTCATAAATCATCCAAGTGAATAACAGCCATTATATGCTAGTAGAATACTATACTTTATCTAGGACTATCAAAAAAAAATTAGATAATATTAATATAAGTTTTTATTTTTAATGTCAAAAAAATATTGAACGAGTATAACGAGTAAGTAACATGGAAACAAAACCACACAAAACATTGAAATTGTCTTTTTAACTATATAGGTAGCTAACTAATTTAGCTTTAACTAATTAAAACAAAAATTAGTTATTTACATTAATGGTAATGTTTGTGTTCCCAGAATGTGACAAGTTAAATGTAGGGAGTTTGGATCGAGATATCCGTGAAAGCGGTGAATAATGAAACCATTATTCACTAGTGAATAATGAATATTATTATTATTTCATTAACTCATGTATAATAATCTAATTATAGACGAGTCGTGGATAATAGTATATTATTCAACGAGCTTATAATAGTGGCCGTTATTCACGCGGATGAAGTTTTTTCGCCTGCGGCTCGTGTCATAAATCATCCAAGTGAATAACAGCCATTGTATGCGAGTAGAATACTATACTTTATCCAGGACTATCAAAAAAATTTAGATAATATTAATATAAGTTTTTATTTTTAATGTCAAAATAATATTGAACGAGTATAACGAATAAGTAACATGGAAACAAAACATTGAAATTTTCTTTAACTAGGTAGCTAACTAATTTAGCTTTAACGTACAATCGCATTCCAAGCCGGTTCGGATCGAGCACAGCTCTTGTTTGGAGTTTGGATCGAGATATCCGTGGAAGCGGTGAATAATGAAACCATTATTCACCAGTGAATAATGAATATTATTATTATTTCATAAACTCGTGTACAATAATCAAATTATAGACGAGTCGTGGATAAAATATATTATTTGACTGGCATTTAATTTTGAAATTTTACACAACGTTTCAATCAGACATCACTGATGTCATCAAACCCGTGACATTTGTTTTTCTAAGATTGTGCACCCCCAAAGTACTGAACTACGCGGCGCCACTGTATCCAGACCATCAGGTGACATCCAGTATACGCACTTCCGTCTGTTGATAATGCATTCCCAACGTCAATCTCCTGATTGACTATTCGGATATTAACACCTTGGGCATCCAGACCATTGTGTTCGCCTAATTATATCAATTAGCTAGAAACGGCATGTTCTATTGCCGGAACTTTATGCCCGATAGCTAATTGTTATATGGATGGTGAATAATTTCTAGGTATCTGACGTGTCTCGGGTGGTTAGCGTCAAATTTCAGCCCCTGGGTCTTTGGCAGCGAATGTTGTTTCGAAAATCGCAATTTTAATGATGAGTTTTTCATTAATGTTACTCATTTCTTTAGCAATAGTTTTATTTTGGAATTAAAAATTATTATTATATTCAGAACATTGTTTGCTTGTTTTGGTTTTGAAAATGTTATATGTAATCATTAATCATTTGACTGTTTCTAAAATAATTCTTACACGTGCAGAGTAAAGCTCTTTACAAGTAGTATTCATATGCATATATACAGGATGAGTTTTCTGTGATGTTCTCTACGGATATCTGAGAAACTACTCGATCCGGAGAGTCGGTCAAATAGAGAAAAAATTGCAGTCAAAAATATGCGCCTTCCGGAATTTTGAAAAAAATTATGACTTAGATATTTCAAAAAAAAAGTATCGGCTATTTTAAAAATGCTCCCTAATCTATTCTAATATATAAAATCCTTAAGTGACTCATTGATTAATCACGATCCTGCTCAAACCACCTCAACGTAAGAAGCACAATTTTGGCATACAGGTTGACCCTAGGGTGTAGAAGATCGAAAAGAAAGGATTTTTCGAAATTCCAGTCCCAAGGGGATGAAACCACCCCTCAAATATTAGAATATTTTTTATTTAAAAAAAAAACGGTCAAGTTTCCGAAAAAATACTTAAACACGTATATTTTATTTAAGATAAAATTTAAGATTTTTTAAAAATGTATACAGGGTGTTTCGAAAAATCTGGTCATTGATTAATCACGATCCTGCTTAAATCGTTTGACGTAAAAAGCTGATTTTTGGAAAACGGATTGACTTTAGGGTGTAGAGGTTCGATAAGAAGGGATTTTTCGAAACCCGAATTCTAAGGGGGTGAAACCACCCCTCAAATATTAGAAAAAATGTTATTTAAAAACCGGTGAGTTTTTCGGAAAAACTCTTAAACACGTATATTTTTATTTTGTTGTTTTACATATTTTAAGATTTTTTATAAATTTATACAGGGTGTTTCATAAAATATGACCATTGAGTAATCACGATTTTGCTTAAACTGCTTGATGTGGTGTAGAGATTCGATAGGGAGGGGTTTCTCGAATCTCAAATTCCAAGAGGGTGAAAACGCCCCTCAAATATTACAATATTTTTTATTTAAAAAACGGTTAGTCTTTCGGGAAAATGCTTGGACAAGCATAATTTATTTGATTTTTTTACATATTCTGAAATTTTTTAAAAAATCATACAGGGCGTTCCAAAAGTTGGGTAATTGATTAACCACGATTCTGCTTAAACTGCTTGACGTGCAAAGCTTATTTTTCGCAAACGGATTTTTCGAAAGTCAAATTCCAAGGGGGTGAAACCACCCCTCAAATATTACAATATTTTTTATTTAAAAGTTTCCGAAAAAACGCTTAAACACGTATATTTTATTTAGTTTTTTTACATATTTTAAGTTTTTTTAAAAATGTATACAGGGTGTTTCGAAAAATCTGAACATTGATTAATCACGTTCCTGCTTAAAGCGCTTGACGTAAAAAGCTGATTTTTGGAAAACGGATTGACTTTAGGGTGTAGAGGTTCAATTAGAAGGGATTTTTCGAAACTCGAATTCTAAGCCACCTCTCAAATATTAGAATATTTTTTATTTAAAAACCGGTGAGTTTTTCGGAAAAACTCTTAAACACGTATATTTTATTTTGTTGTTTTACATATTTTAAGATTTTTTAAAAATGTATACAAGGTGTTTCTATATAGATACGCAACGGATAAATATATATGCCGCGTCGTATAACTTTGCTACCTGCAATGTATGTAGAAAATTCGCTTTATCGAGTATGTCGCATTAAAATCGGATTTCAATTTATTTCATTCTAGGATCGCTTGAGTTCGTCGCTCGTAACTTGCATCGCTCGTTCATAATCGAGCGATGTCGGTTATTTCAATAATCGAGTACTCGAGCGAATTTTCGCTTAGACTATTTCGCTTCACTAATTAGAACGGGGTAGGCTGAGTCCGCACAGATCCGCAAAAATAATATAGTCTAAAAAATATAAAACTTTAGTTTGAAAATATGTTTGAATCACCAATCATGTATATTGACAAAAATATGTTTAAAAAGTACTTTACACGCCCGTATTTTTTATAACAAAAGAATAGAGTAAAAATATCAAACCATACACCGGATATAGAACTCTTTCGGAACGCTAGGTCACCCTGTAGGTATATCGTTTTTTGTAAACTATTTCTTGACGTCCTTGTAATATTTTAAACGAAATATTTCGGTTCGTTTTTATCGCACTATCTTTTATACAGCTATTATTTAGACATTTTTTAACTGCATTTTTATACTTTTAACTTGCTTATTTAACCCACACGTTTAAAGATCTATAAATCATAGGTACTAAATAAAGTTTTAGTCACGTGATTAAGCTTGACCCGGCACAGCTTTCTCTACTTTTACATCTTTTCTTTTAATCAAAATATTTTAGGAAACAAAAATAAATTAATTATAAACATATAAACAGTTATTATTTACATCAACAAAACTCACCTCCTTCACAGCACTTAAGAGATATAAATGGCCATTACTACCGCTTTCCTGTTCAAAATATTCTGATAAGGTTGGGATGAGTTTTTTTGCGGCTATTAAGCTATTTTGTACACTTCGCACTAAAAGAGGTTTAAAAAAAAACAATGTTCGACTGCATCAGATAGCAAAAAATTTTAATCTTAATGTATCACAACAAAATTCATTTAAACCAAAAACTCGTAATTCAAAACTAAAGTGTTAAAACGAATAACAACGTCAGGAAATAAATAAATAAATGTGACAACTTGACATTTTTACAGCAGAGCTACCACATGAATACCCAGCGGGAAATATAAATTCCATATATTTAAAAAGTTGCTTCACAAAACGAGTTCTAGCTATTGTTTGAACATTTTTTACCTGATGCGTTTTGAAAACTATTAATTTGTTCACACGTTTAATAATCTAGTTGATATATTTCACGGCCTTAGTCGACCATTCTATCCTCCTGCTCGTTCTCTTTCTCCAAAGTTGCTTTACAAAACGAGTTCGGAATTATTTTGTCCCTACGACATAGTTAACAAAGGACGAAGGACAATACGAGGGATTATTCAGACTGTCCACCTAGCGGCGGCGACAAAGGATAATGAAATAATTTATATGCTAAACAACGGGACCGCTCGCCAAGTATTAAAATTGTACGATTAGGATTCGTATCAACAATTATAATGGAGTAAATAATGCCCTGTAACTATAACGGTTATAAATGGCGATGAAACGAAACACGTGAATAAATGAAGATTTACGAAGCGTTATCAAAAGTAATAAATGCAAATTTAATTGAATAATACGGCTTAAATAAATATATTTTAATAGGAAATATGGATGAAGAAAGTTACAAATATTTTTGAAGAATTACCTGTTTTTTTTTAAAAACTTCTGCGTTCTGTGACTAAAAGGAAATCTACAAAATATAATAGTTATTTTTTATAAACACTACTTCGTTGATCCAGGAGACCAATTTGTCAGTGATATTTTACTAATCAAACAAATTTGCCTACCGGACAACAAATGCTTAACGTTTCAGGAAGTATAGTCTGTCCAACGACAAGATTCTTGACAGTGATAGATGTGTCTGTCATTTTAATTTCACAGTAGTTTATTTTACTTTACAAAGAAATAAGTTGGTACAACTGGACGCATAGCAGGAAATTAATATATTTAAAATTTGACTGATACCTAAGTGATTACTTCAAAATATTGTGAAAAAAAATTGTATAAAACTGAAAAGATGTAATCGAGTTATTTTATGTAAAAAACGGTACTTATGTGTTAATACAAAACAAACAAGAACAAAACAAGAACAAAGCACCACATACCATACCAAAATATATAAAAAAGAACTATTTCTTACTTTCAAACTTCAAGAAACTTCTCGCATTTATTATTATATTTATCAATATAACTTATGTTGAAATACAAATTTGTAATATTCCACAGAAATAAATAAAACAACATAAATAAAACAAAGCATTTTATTAATAATAACACTTACCAGATGTTATTGATGACCTTAAAACTGATTAATTAACTTTAATATTAATTTTTTAAACCACTAACGACATTATTTTTCTGCACTACTAAAATCCATTATTTACCTATCTTGTGATGTCGATATTTTACAGCTACTCCAGTAGTATATGTTTAGTACTGTTCTTGTACCATATACGAGATGCACTTATCTACGACAAGATGGTATACAAACTTTATTGATAGTAACTTTATTGGTGTATAAGACTTTCTGCCTGGGTACGTGTATAACCATAAACTGTGCTCTGGGTCTACAGTTAATTTTCACTCGATTTTTCCTCCACTTGACTTCAAAAGACACAAAACACACGTAATAACACGAATCAAAATGCATTATCTTCCAAAATGCAGATATTTGACATAAATTGACACAAAATTATAACCTATAATTTAGCAAGACTTTGACAAGCCTCAAAAATCTAAAGGCGAGTTCATACGCATTGGCGTCCATTTGTCGTTCATCGTTCCGCCAAACCAATAAAATTGAAATATGATCTGTAATTTTTGAAATAAACCAATAAAACTGGTTAAAAACAACAAGAGACGACGTATAATGGATTTATATTTAAACCCATCAATAGTTAACTTAAAAAATATTAGAAACTTTTTTTAGTAAAATAAATAGATTGGTATGGGACGTCATCTGCTTTTCTTCTGTCATCGTATGTCGGAATCTTACCTGAGAAAAAAAAACAGAGTATATATCCCCATAGTCGGAAGCAAAAAAAACACAAAGAGAACAAAAATAAATATTTAATTATTCAAGAACACTTTAGTTGTTTTAGCAAATACGTCTATTATAAACCGTTGACGTTCTGTTAACAATTACTAACTGATTTTTTTAGCAAACTGTATATCGACATATCAACTTTAATTGTTCAGCTTTTTATAAACTTTAGTATTTGGCATATTGTATAGGGTTATCGAGGGGTTGTTTTTATATCATAACTTTAAAACACCGTGTGTAATAATTTCGTGTGTATATTTTCCTAAAATATCATTTTACGGTCAGAATCAGGACTCCTGAGCATTTTGTTTTTTGAGTCATGTCAACGTATGCTTTGGTTAATTTTTAAGACTCGCTTTTTCAAGCCGCTCTTCATGAAGGAACACTTACCGCAAGAAACCGACAAAATCTTCTTACGATTGCCAAGGAACTCGAATTTCATCTGAGTCTGTAAGGAATAGGCTGCATGAAGTTAACATTCGATCAAGGCTAGCAGTTGATGTGTCTCATTTAACTGGTAATCATCGTAGGGCACGATTTGGATCTTCACTGGAGCGTGTATCGTGGAGGCACGTCCTTTTCACGGACGAGTCCCGTTCTCGATTAAGTCATAATGATACTCGGCGGAGAGTATACAGAAGACCGAATGAACGATATCTGGACAGAACAGTTAGAAAAGCGATTAATTTTGGTGGAGGTTCCGTTATGGTATGGGTCCAGTTATGCTATAATTAATCCTGAACGATACAGAGAGATTCTTGAATATGTTATTCCATTTGCTGCTCAGCTTGGTCCGGAATTCAACTTGCAACAGGATAATGCCAGGCCTCATATTGCAAGAGTAGTTGCTTGATATCTTGAAGAGTCCAATTTTACAATTATGGATTGGCCTGCTAATAGCCCTGATCTCAATCCTATTGAGAACCTTTGGGACATATTAAAGAGAAGACTACAAAGTCGTCCACAAGCACCAGATCTTCAAACTTTGGGTGGAAATCTTCGAGAAAAGTGGAACGCCTTTTCTCAAGAGATTATTCGGAGCCTCATTCAGTCTATGGCAAATCGGTGTGCAGAAGTGCATCGAAACCGCGGAAGACACATTCATTATTAGGGAAAAATTACTTTCTTTGACAATTAAGAAAAAATTGTTTAGCATTGTTTTCGATACGTATTGTAGTAATTCATAACGTAATAAAAATACAGTTTTCAGCAGTTTAACAACTTTCGCTATGAACACCAAGATGCATTCAAACTTAATTCCTAAGGAACAAATTGCTAAGTTTATATGTTCAAATAAATATATTTTCCGTGTTTAAACAAAATTTACCTAAGTGATTTCTAATTCCTTTTAACTAACTAGTTCATATTTTCAATTACATTTATTGACACTATTTATATTCAGTAAAATTAGATACCATTTAATTTATTACTATCTCAAAAAGCATTACCTCCAAAGCATCCAAATTTTATTCTTAGATTTTTTCTCGTACTTTACTTAGAGCTGTATTATTATTCCGCTTTTCAAGCCGACTTATACCTACCCACAGAGAAAGTAAAAGTGGGAGGCTTTTAGGCTTTTTTCCCGTTGTCGGTTTTTCGAATAATATGACGGTTGCGCTAAAGTGGAAGTCGTGTTTTTGTATGGGGTCCTAAAGCGTATGGGAATAAGTGTCTTAGAGCACCTCGGTTTAACCCACAAAAGCACTGTGCCTTTACATCAGAAAGGATATAAATCAAAGTCAAATATTTACGATGTAAAACAATAGAGGACCCTACAAAAAAGAGTTTGTTTTTATTGTTTTTTCTATGTCTGTTTGTACATGGTGGCGCCTCTCATACACCGCGGAGGCTCCAAGGAGAACGACAATTTGTATTGAAATGAAATTTTGTGAGCATATGTAGGTTAATTCACGGCACATTTTAAAAATATAGAGAGTTCTACAGGGTGTCCCCAAAAAAAGTTACATATCAAAGTTGTGTTTTTTGTAATATATTAATTGATTTTCAGATTCTAGGAGAAAAATAAAGGTGAGTTTTATAAGAGAAGTATATGACTAAAATGTAAGGTTTTTGACATATTTAACATTTTCTAGAAATAAAGAACAATTTTTAAATTACAATAAAAGCTACCTAAATTGGAATTTACCCCGTGTGGCCTAATATGTAGTTAAACTGACTACTCTACTTTAAATCAAATTAAAACTTGATCCAAAAAGTTATACAGGGTGAGACAAAATTAATATTGAACATTGGCCACCTTTAAAAACATGTTACGCTCTTATTTTAAATGGAACACCCAGTATATTATTCCGATATTTAATGGAGAATTCCTGTCTCTTTAAAATACTATTAAGGTTGCCTACCCCTCAAATAAAGATTTTCCTAGATATTTTCATTTACATGATTTGATTTGAGTAGATCTTTATTATTTGATAAAACCTAGGTGGCTGGGATATGTCTGACGTTACTTCAACATAGCTGTCTAATTAGTTCAACTTTAATAACTAGTTATAGTTTTTTGTCAGTTAAAACAAAAAAAATTCTCAGGAATTTGCCGAAAATGCAAACTTATCCTACATCAGAGAGAATTGATATTATTGTATTAGTTGGTGAATGCAGTGTGCGTTTACCAATTAATAGAATAGTAGAATGTAGAATGTTTAGGAGGGGAGTTAGTCACCGCGACCTTAAAGATCTATTGTGTGTTCCCCTTTCTTGAGTTATAACGAGTTATAACTCATCATACAGTCTCAAGGCTTTAACAAAAGCCAGTATCTGAGACGGCTCCACAGAGGCTAGCTCTTCATCCTTGACATCAGCCGTACCAAAGTTCATGGCACGAATGGTCGTCGTCTCGGCGCACTCAGTGATGAGGTGTTCAGGTGTTTCCCCATATTCCCCACAGAATCTGCATTCGCCGTTGTTTCTCAGCTTCAGCCTACTGAGGTGTTCGTTGAGAAGACAGTGTCTTGTTAGAAACCCCGTGACAATCCGAAGATTGTTTTTACTTAAATCAAGGAAAATCTTTGATTTTTCTCGGTCGTAGGTTCTGAGGAACTTTTTCGAGTGTCTTAGACCGTTGGAGGACACCCATTCCAAGTTACGGTTGGAGTCTTCCAGATTCTTCAGTTCCGCTTTCAGTTGGTTTCCGCTTGGAAAACAGAACGGTTCTGGTCCAGTTAGTGGCGTGTTCGCATGTTCGGCGTGTTCGTAATAGAATAGTTAAATGCTCCTGATTTTATCTAGTCTGGTTTTTTTATGGGGATATGTTAAAGACAGTGTTTAAAAAACTCGACAAACTGGTGTCGACAGCATGAGATAAATTATTGTAGCTGCTTTTTCAGGTAGAACTCCACATAAATGCCTTTTAAAATGAAAAGATCCTTTTGAATCCGGTTTTCTTCCAAATTAATAATTTTTCAGATGAAATCCCTCGAATTCAAGGCACAATATTTTATTTTCTATAAGATATAGTGTTTTAGTGTAGTTTTTTGCACACGTTTTGCAGAAAATCCATAGAAATAGTATACAGACTGGATCAAAGGTAAACTTAAATCTAATCCCTTTTTTTTTATCAAGGGTCGATTCTAGTAAAAACTCAAAACATTTTTATATGACATACCTACTCTATTTATGCTTGGTATGATACCTGTAATTATAGCTTTGAGTTTCGATGTTAAAAAATAAAAAAAAATAATATTTAAGTTTTCCTACAACCACTTGTTTTTTTATTAAATTAGTTTTTTTAGTTGTATTGTAGTCATGTACAAGGAGGACAACTGTATTTTAAATATTATATTTGATTTAACGTTTTTCAAACAGGGTTCATATATGACTATATTTCTACTAGGTACATTATTTTGAAAAAAAAAATAAGAAAGTAACTTAAATATTCATAAAAATAAAAGTAATTAATGTTCTAGATTATATTGCAAACATTGAAATAACTGGAAGCTAAACTTTCTACCTGCTTATATTTAGAGCCAGTGTCTGACGATCTTTTTTTACGATGGCCCTAATATGTTTACTTCTGAAGTCGATAAGGGCGCCATATCAGTAGAAAAAAGAAACAGAATATCTCCCTTTTTGTCGGTCGCGCGTACACAATGCTTTTTGTTTGTTGTTAATAGCAACTTCGCTTTTTGGTTAACTCGGATATTTTAACATTTCTCAAACAATATTTTCTAATTGGTAAAACGTAAAAATCGTTAGATTTGACAACTCTGCTGAAACTGGTCGTTCATCTGGCTGCAGCTAAAAACGCAATACATCCGGCCAGCCGACGGCCAGGTCGTTGCGAACGATTGTTTTTTTTTAAATTTGGATTTTTTTAATTTTTAGTTGAAAAACATAATATCTTCATGATATTGCAACATAGATATTAGAATTAATTTACAAGAAAGAAAACACAGAAAAGATTCAGTAGTTTTCAAAATTTAATCGACTACACTTCAGTCCGGTGGTGGAAGGATTGGCCGTCTAAAAGAAGACGTTTCCTTCTGGAGCATACAGAAAAGCCGAAGTATCTCGGAGTGATACTAGACAGGACCTTGACATATAGGTACCACTGTCAGAAAACTCGCCAGAAAGTCAGCGCTAGAAATAACATTTTGAGAAGGCTAACTGGAAGCAAGTGGGGCGCAAATCCATCTGTCTTAAAAACAACTGCACGGGCTTTATGTTTTTTCAACGGGAGAATATGCCTGTCCTGTATGGAATAGATCGAGCCATGCCAAACAAGTTGATGTTGCTTTAAATGAAACGTGCCGAATAACAACAGGGTGTATGAAAGCAACAAGCTTATTTCAACTTTACAGAGCCTCCGATTTGCAGCTCCCTCACAGCGGCGCAAAGCGGTTGAACACACTGAAAAGTTTAAACAGATGTTCGACGAGCGCCATCCGCTTTTTGGCGAGTTCCAAGGATCAAGCAGACTCTGATCTCGGAAAAACTTTTAAAAAACTGTTCAAGAAGACCCACCGCTTGATTATCCTCTTAGAGAAGAAGATTCTGCAGGCCAACATCTTGATTGGGTCACGTGGAAGTCCCTAAACCGCATCAGAACAGGAGTAGCGCCTGTTAAAACCAACAAAGCGAAATGGGGACTTATCACGGATGAAGACACAAAATGTGAATGCGGCGAAATCCAAAATATGGAGCATCTGCTGTCATGCATAAGATGCCCTCATACATGTACCCTTGAAAATTTATGGAACGCCGATGAAAATGCTTTAGACGTCGCCCGGTACTGGGCTAAAGAATTTTAAATTATAATTGTACATTATGTAACTATATGGTCCGGATACGAAAAAGTAAAGTAAGTTTAATCGACTAATCATTTTTTTGAAAAGTTCAAAATAAATATCTCGATATTTTGGACTTATTTGAAAATCAGTAGAGAGAAAATATTACAGTTGAGAGTTGGAACCTTTGGTGTTACACAGCAAAATCACCACAAAAAGTTAATTTATAATCATCTGCTGATGATGCTAACATGGTTAGCGAAACGCGCGTCCAGTGTAAAAGTAAAAGTGTTTTGGTGTATTGCGGTGATTTAGTGTTTTAATTTGCTTTTTTTTGAGAGAAAATATGTTTCTTTTATCGAGATGCACCAGCTCTTAGTATATTTGGATTTATTTAAGACTAACCCTGTATAATAAATTTATTTAATTGATAAAAATACTTACGCGGTGTGTACCACAGGGGGTGTGCAAGATGCCCTCCACATGTCTTCAGATGTTCATAGCTATATAATATGAGAAATACTTTTTCAAACAGAACACCGCTTATTTAATTTGATCCATACAGATAAAAAAATTTTTATTAATTTTAAATGATAATAACAGGGGGTAAAAATACCATCAGAAGTACTATTGCATCCTCATCATTTCTCCAAAAAAGTCCTATGGGTATTTCAAGTAAATAAAATAGTTATTTTAAAGTAAACAATGCTGCGTTAATCTAATATAGATTAATTGTCAGCAGTAGTTTACTAATAAAAAAAATTTGCCTAGCGGACAAAAAAATGCTTAACGTTTCTGAAAGTATATCGTGATAACCTGCTA